GATAACGAGAAACAACAAAAAAGAAAGGCAAAAAGAAAGAGGGCAAAGAGCTAGGGTATCGTTCCCTGCTCTGATACCATGTGAAGAAGGAAAATAATATTTGCCTTTGAATAAATTTTATTGAATCAGGAGACGTAGCTTTATACAAGGGATATCCTACAATCAAGCTAATCTAAAAAGGTAAGAACAAATTTCCTATAATCATGCTAATATATTCTAGGTAGTCTAAGTATAAAAGGCAACTGAACAAATACAATATATTTGTCAATGAATGATCAGATATTATTGACCTTTCCTTCTCAACATTTATGAAGAACAATGTAGATGATGAAATCAGGGGCAACACTCCTCGGTAAGACAATTCAAAGATGTTGAGCATGATGAGAAAGGGTTTGTTGAGGCTCCAAGGATCAAAACCTTCAATCCAATGTCATTCCTACTCAAATCCCTAAATCTCTAATCAAAATCCTAGAACTCTCTCCTCTATCCATCTCTTTCAATCATACAAAGCCTTACATACTTCTCCCCTTTGCCCTATCACTAGTGGTTACTCCTGATCCGAAGCACCCTTTTGCATCCATAGAGAGATCCAATTGTCAAAATCAATAAAAAGGCCATCATGTTGTTTCAATTGTCAGAAAATTAATTCCACTGATTTCCATGCAAAACTGGGAAATGGTAATTTGGTTGTTTCAATCCAATGTCGTTCCTACTCAAATCCCTAAAGCTCTAATCAAAATCCTAGAACTCTCTCTTCTATCCATCTCTTTCAATCATACAAAGACTTACATACTTCTCCCATTTGCCCTATCACTAGTGGTTACTCCTGATCCGAAGCACCCTTTTGCTTCCATAGAGAGATCCAATTGTCAAAATCAATAAAAAGGCCATCATTAGAACAAACAAAGCAATATCTTTCATTAGAAGCCTAAAATGGAATAACCAAATAGTTGTTTGGTTAGAAGGATTTCGTGCGATAGAATTTTCTTTTCATTCACGTCGGAAAGAGATATCCTAAAATGGCGTAACTAGGAAAGATATGTCCTAAATGTGATAGAAGTGAGAGACTAAAAACAATGACGAAAGGCTATGATCCTCAAATATGCAATCGACCAACTTGCCATCGATGTTTGCTCATGACTATCGATGGGTCCATCGATGAGCTAAAATCATGTCTCCAGAATTGTGCAATTTTTTCTTGTAGACTATCGATGATCTCGTAACCATTAATGGGTCCTTGATGACCATCGATGATACGAAGGCAGAAATCAGCGTTTATGCTGATATTCATGTTGTTTCGCCGTGTACACATCTTATACCTATATTCACATGTACTATATTATCTCAAATAAATATTAGTACCAAATAAGAGTTTGTTATTATTCAAACTAGAGCTACTGCACGGACTTTGTCCTAACAGCTTTCCCATCACTCATCCCTCGGCCCCTTGTTTGCTCGTGATTGCAGGCTGTTCAACCATCAAGCCCTGAAATTCACGAAGGATATAGGCCGACTCCTCCTCGAGAAGCCTCAATTTCCTACACAATAAATTACACATAATCATCATCATTTTCATCAAGATATCTAGCTCTGCTGAGGGCGCTAGGCATGGTGGCATGCATGGGCTTGAATTTGGTGAAATTCCTCTGCACTCTCTGTGTTTACACTTATAAAACTGTCCATTCATATTTTCTTGCAAATCTTTCAATATTTATGTGGATCTTACAACTTACATTTGCAAAGTCGCAATAGTTGGAATACTTGAAGAAAAAGTAAAACAATATCCGCGTGTGTGTTCGTAATACATTAAAATGTTGATCTTTTGACAAATCTTTATTTTATTGAATCTTGGTTAGTTACTTAAAAATTATTCATTCCCACCCTTTTGAATCTAACAGTGCTATAAAATATTTTTCATGGTGGAACCTTTAGAATTGAAATTTGTAACACCATAAAAAGGTTAGAATGCGAGCGATAAGGTATTAAGAATTTGGAAAGTGTTACAATAATTTTTTAATTATAAATTTTGAAAACTGCAAAAAATGTTTTGTTGAAAATTATGAAGAACATTTTACAATTACTTTTTTTAAATAACTCTCTTTATAAAAACCATAATTATTAATTCAATGTTTTTGGTTATTTTCAAAACCATATGACTAATAAGAGTCTTTAATATATATTTTCAACTAATTACACTTTCATACTTTTATTTTATTTTATTATATTTACTTTTTTGGGATAACATAGAAGATAAGATAGAAGTTCAAAAGCATAGACTAGAAAATACGAAAATATTTTTCTTCTTATTAGATAAATAATGAAACTGAAAATGCAATGAAATTTGTCTTTTTATTCGTAAGTTGAAATTTTGAAGAGAAAAATAACGTGGAAATATATGAACTTTTCCTTTGGGTATAGCTTATAACTATAATATAAAATTTATATAAAAAAAAGAAGTTTTAATATGTGGCATGTGTAAAGCTGCTAAAATAAAGGGTTCTTTTTGTATTCATACTCGTAGATCATCAATGTTTGTAAAATTATCCTCCAAATCTTATTATTTACAAAATTTTCGATCAAATTGCCAATATTGGAAAAATTAACCTTCATGGTAAACAATGTTAGTTGTGGATAGGGGTGAGCACGGTTCGGTTCGGGTCGGTTTTTACCAAAATTTGAATAACCAAACCGAACCACCTATAATTCAAAACTGAACCGAACCATTGCAAATAGGTTCGGTGTGGTTCGGTTCGGTTTGTTCGGTTCTAACTTCATTAAGTATAACTTTACTTCAATTTATCTTTTATATATTCTTATTACCCTATGCCAGCATGTATTTATTTTTTAACTTCACTTCAATTTATTATTCTTGCTCATGTATGTATACTGTTTTTAAGTGAAGTAACTTGTCCTTTTGGATTAAATACTAGACTCTGACGTTGTAATTTTTTAGTAACGGACTTGCTTTGTCTTTGTGCAGCAAGTTTTGACTTTGGTCTTTGTGGAGACAAAAAAAGGAGCTGACTCATTAGAACATTGGTTATGTATGAATCAATTCCCTGCAACTGCTATTCATGGTGATCGAACACAGCAGTAAACCCACAAATCAAAGGCACAAATATATTCGGTTGGTTCGGTTCGGGTCGGTTTGAAAAATTGTCAACCCGAACCGAACCGCCTTACTCATAAAACCGTTTTTTCGGGTTGGTTCGGGTCGGTTCGGTCGGTTTTTTCGGTTTGAACCGAACCGTGCTCACCCCTAGTTGTGGAACGATGATTTTTTATCTGGGCTGCGAGATTCTAAAAGGCCGAAGGACAAAACTACCCCTAATTTGTCAGATACTTAGCACTATTTTGATATGGGGGATTTTTTTTCTCCAAGGAAAGATGCTGACGATCAGAGAATACTTTTGGAAATACTGATATTTGAGGGGTAATTTCGCAAAACTCAATGATTTAATAAGGGTATTATATATGAGAACCCCTTTCGGAAAATAGGCTGTAACTAGGGAACCTCTCCAACCCAGGCCTGTAAAGCCATTTACAGGACAAATTGGGCTGGGCATATCATTGTCTTTAATTTTCTTTGTTGGGCTGGATTTTATTAGGGCCAGTTAAGCTAACAGGCAACTAAAGTAAGTAAAGTATAAAATAATAAATCATTATTAGCTAAATATTGTAATTGAAAGAAGTATAATTAGGGATTTTGGTGCATGGCTTAGCTTATAATAAAGGACGTATATACTTATTGAAAAATGGGGGTTTATTTCTTTTATGGATTGGAAGGTTTTAATTGATTAAATGAGTTCAAAATCTGCAATATATATCAAACAACTTAATTAATTTATTTCATGAATCGTGTAGTGAAGATAATGTAATCTGGTATATCATGTGATGCATTTAATATGTATAGGAACATATTCATCTATAATTAAAAAAATCGATGTTATTAGTAATTCATTATGTTAAATGGCTACTTTTTAGTGCTGTAAGAGTTTCCGAGATTTGTGTTAAAAATCCAAATTAAGAGTTTAAATGTCATTGATTAACAAAGTCAATCAGGATGTGAACTGTTGACCGTATTATGATCTACTTTTCTGCTAATGCATCAGCTACTATTAATTTCCTAAGGTTGCATCATTGGTTATGCTAAGATTTTATCCTTGGGTTTCTATTCCTTAAGAGTTGTTTATGTTGGATTTATTAGTCAAAACCACTTTCCAAAATAAGTTTTCAAACTATATATTTACTAACTACTGGTATTTTTCAGAAATGCTTAGTAGCGTAGTGGAAAGTAAAGTTTAGGTGTTTCAAAATTTCCTCAGTTTGAGACTTGCCGTAGGCAAGCCGAGAATTGTTGTCTTACATAAATCAATTAATCTCTCATAAGTATTAGTGGGTCGTGGGCCATGGGCTCGTGGTTCATAGGCCGTGGGCTCGTGGTTCGTGGGCCGTGGACCGTGGGTTGGGGATTGTAGCTAATCGGGCTGAGGCGCTAAGTGATACTTTGTTTAGCGCACTTTGCACTTCGCACGGAGGCATCGGGACTAGGTAGCGCCACTGTGGCCGCTTCACAGCATGTGGGCGAGCCTCACGTTTGCGAAGCGGATGACCGTTGAGCTGACATTAGAGACCTATAAATAATGCCCTTTTGGGGCTTGGAGGACGCAAACACACTAAAGTGTTGAAAAACTTGAACAGATTGAATCTGTTGAGCTGTTGTGTTGCTATTGCAGAGTTTAAAAGCGTGCAAGTTTTAGCCTGTGCCCGAAGAAGTATAGCCCTGAACCGAAAGGTTTTAACCGAAAAGTTTAACAAATCGAGGAGATCATTGCCTTGACCGAAAGGTCTTCTAGATCATGGAGATCTTGACAGTACTTAGTAGGTGCACACCATTATGCTGTACTGCTATTCATAAAAGCAGTTTGGCCTTGGAATCCTTACACTGGAGTAGACCAAATATTGCATTAAGCACAGTGTTTCACGAACGCACAACAACT